CTCTAAGTGAGAGAGAGGGCCCCAACCCCTGCCTAGACAGGCTTTTATTGCTTTTCTGGGTATGTTACATCAAGGATGGTCCTCATTTACTATGCACAGGTTCACTGCAGGTGATTACCTTTTACAGATAACAAAGGAAAGAATGTTGCTAATTACTTCAAAGAGAAGGATGTTACAGATCAAAGAGAATAGTAGTTGAACTGGTTGGTTACACTCTATACGTGGGACATTTAGCACAGACCTTAGGAAGTTACTTTAGAGATATGCAGCAAGCATTTCTGCCTCAATCCTGGGTAAGGGAGTTTTAGCAAAAGCAGGTCTCATAGCAGCCTAGGTACAGTGCAGGTCTGATTTCCCATGGGAGAACCTATCCATGGGCATGGGCCCTGTGTGCCGCTGGCCTTTGCTCCCCACTGGCCTTTCCGAGTGGGGTCTGGTTTATCTTCCCATGTCACAGGGAATGGCTCCCTACAGGTGGGGCTGTTGCTTCCCCTCAGGCTGATGTGACTTAGAGAGGAGTGCTCTGCCTGAGAAAGATGTTTTCTGCAGTGTGGGAAATGACTCAGCACAGGGATCTTGGTGGCTGGTTCTTCAGTTTTCTCCCCAGAGCCACCAACCCCAGAGTCTCCTCAAGCATCCCTAGTCCACTCTTCCATCCCTCTGTGGGTACCCAGGGTTAGTGACTACAAATGAAATTTTGTGCATTGGCCCTTTAAGAGGCTCTCTGCATCTCCAGCTGTATCTCCCTGGCGGACAGAAACCCTCCTGCTTTTTCAGTTGGATGTTAACTGGGTTCCTTTCTGGCTCTTATGCTGTGGACTGGGGAGCCTAGCATGGGGTTTAGACCCCATACTCCTCAGGAAGAATCCTGGCCATTAAAATATCACTCTGAAGTGGGCTCTGTGGTACAATGGATAGTGCATTGGACTTCTAGTGATGAAATACCCTTCTGGAACTTCAGCTGCCTTCTGTGAGAGCCCAGCCAACCCTCTTGTGCCTCCTCTGCACTCCTACCAGTCTCATTGTGGTGAAGTGGTTTCTTCTAGCTGTTCTTGGTCATAAGGAATCTCTCTAGCTAATGTTCAATTGGTTATTCAGTATAATTTCTCTACAATTTAGTTGTAATTCCACATTGGTCCTGAGAAGAGGTTACTGGAGCTGCTACTTATCTTCTGCCATCTTGGATCTTGCAAGAGCTTTGTTCTTACTGAACTGTAATTGTGGGTTGTCTTCCTAAACTAAATCTTGACATTGGTCCCTAGCAGACTAGGCAAGAACACAAAGATCACACTTAAATAAACTAATTTCCACATTTCTTAATATTGTGATCACTGTTTCTAACACCTAAGATTAAGAAATAGCATGTGTTAAGCAGTTACTATGTGCTAGGCATTCTGCTAAGCAAAGCTAGGCAGTTTGCCTGGGTTAATTTAACTCTCAAACAATAATTTTGAGGAAGAAACTATTTCTACGTCCAATTATGAAGAGACTAAAGCATAGAAAGATTGTTTAAAATCATTCCTAGTAAGGGTCAAGGCCAAGAGTTTGAACCTTACCCTTGGTGGGACTCTGCGGAACCTCACCATTCACACTCTTAAGAGAACAAGTCTTGGCGTTAACTGAAATAATGTCAAATACTAGTTTTCTCACTGGTTCTATAGAACTGGGAAATCCTTTAACCTATAAATTTGGATAAAACTATCTAGCTCAATTAGGAAAAAGCTGAGATTTTCACTTAGACCTATCACATTTGAATCAAAAACACTTGACATATATCTCCTTTTTCCTAATAAGAGAGGTCATTGGTTTTGGTTCTAGCACCACCACATAAATACCAATTGTCTAAATAGGGTTCTTGCTGAACCTCACACCTTCGATACCTGGTGGTAGCCTCTTCTCCTGCACCACGTTGTACTGTCCTCACCAATGTTCTGTCTCAGCACATAAAAGAATATCAGTCACTCTGTATCCAGCCTCCTTTGTTTCTGTTTGTTATTTCCTATTTATAATAACATCTAGAACTGCACAGCAGCAAATAACGGCTTTCTTCACCCCCTTTATGGCAATTCAGGTCTCCAGGCAATAATAGGCTTCCAAATTCCATCTTATAGAAACCTTGAAAATGGGACCCATGGGAGTGAAGTGAGGCATCATCTGTCCTGTTCTGCCTTCTGTTAGAGCAGATAAGCAGCCCCAGTGACCTGAAGCCAGTCTCCTGTCTGTCTGTGCTTTAGGTTCAATCTCCCTTGGCTTCTGAGTACACATTCACTATTGATTCTCTCTTTTACTAAACCTTCAGGTTTAGAGGTTGTCTTTATGACTCCCAGTTTATGGTACAATTTCATCACTGACCCATGAAAAATCCCTAATTTTTCTGTCTCCTTTTATCATATTCCCATTTCCAATCCTTCATTCCACAGGCAACTATTGCATTTTTTTAAATGTTCTTTGTGTTTTTATGTTGTATTAGTCAAAGCTCTTCAGGAAAACAGAACCAATAAGAGGTGATGATAGATAGGTAGGTAGGTAGGTAGGTAGGTAGGCAGGTAGGCAGGCAGGCAGTAGTAGATAGATACTAATATTGATTTTATAGGACTGGTTTAAGCAATTCTGGCAGCTGGCAAGACTGAAATCAGGCAGGCCAGCAGGCTGGGAATTCAGGTAAGAGTTGATGTAGTCTTAAGTCCAAAACCTACATGGAAGCACAGGCAAGGTTTCTATATTTCAGTCTTGAGGAAGAATAGCTTCTTCTTCAGGATACCTCAGTCTTTACCCTTAAACCTTCAACTGATTGGATGTGCCCACCCACATTACAGAGGGTAAAATGCTTTAGTTTCAATAACTGATTGTGTTAATAACATCCACAAATATCTTCACAGAAATATCTAGACTAGTGTTTGGCCAAACAACTTAGTACCATTGTCAAGTTGACACAAAGTTAACCATAACATATGGGTTCCAAAAAAACATGCCTCACCATTATCTCACAGTTTTTTTTTAATTTATGTAAATGATACTGCGTCAATCCTCCCTACCAAAAGAGTGATCTTTTGACAGGCAGCATCAGCATCACCTGCAATCTTCATACAAATGCAGAATCTCAGGTTCACCGCAGACCTACTGAGTCAGAATCTGTGTTTTAACAATATCGCCCTATTTCTCACCCACTTCACAGCGATATTGAGAAGACTAAAATAAATGAACAGAAATTTTACTCTTAGCATATACAAAAATAAAATTTAGTCCATGTGTATTTCAGAAAACATTCTAAAAATTCCTTCAGCCATATTAACTATGACACACAAATTAACAATAGGATGAACAATTGTGATATATTCACACATTGCAATCCTATAGTCAGAAAATATACAAGATGTAGCTCTATTCAACTACATGGATAGATCTCAAAAAAATGTGTTTAGGGAAATAAAACTACACAAAGAGAAGACTGCATGAAAATCCATTTTCTATACAATAGAAAGTCTATTTCTATAAAGTTCAAACAGTTGAAGCTAACGTGCAACATTTAAGATTGTACATATCTGTCAGGATAATGAAGAAATGAATTAGAAAGTGATCAGAAATTGTTCCATGGCAGGATTCAGGACTGAGGGAGCTGACACTTTCATCTCCTGGCCAGAGCAGTAATTACATAGGTGCTTACTTTATAATAATTCATTAGACTGTGCACTTAAGTTTCATGCCATTTTAAATGTATGTCATATGTCACAATGAAAAAGTTAAAAAGAAGATTAAATGGAGTAGTATGTACAATGCCAAGCAAGACATTCAATATATGATAGTTATTTGTTTATAGCTGTACCACCCTGAACATGCCCAATCTCGTCTGAGTGATAGCGATGCACACCAGTTCCTCAGATGGACTCTGCCTGACTGAGGGTGTGTGAGCTCTAAAAATTTTGGAGGGAGATATATTAAAGTCTTAATGTCTAAGTTTTATAAAATAAAAGTAGAAAATTCCATTTGGTAAACAGAGCAGCTTAAGCAATTTTTTGAAAGCAAACTTTGGACATGGTTTGGAGAGAAAGAGGTAAAAATCTAAATTTCTCTAAACAAGAGAACAACAACTCAGGGAAGTGAGCTGGCAGCTTATGAGGTAAGGAAGATGGTATCAAGAGAAAAAGATAATCAAACACCTAAATATGAGATCTGCAACAATAAATTACATACAAGAAAAGACAGGTACTAAACTTATAGACCTTGGTCTTAAAGAACATTTTATGATCCCAAAGGCAAGGAAAGTAAAGGCAAAAATAAATGAATGGAACTATATTAAACTGAAAAGCTTCTGAACAGCAAAAGAACCCCTCAACAACAAAAAAGGCAACCAACCAAATGGAAGATATTTGCAAACAAGGGGCTAATATCCAAAATACATAAAGAACTCATACAACTCAATACCAAATAAACAAACTATCCAATTAAAAAATGGGCAGAGTACCTGAACAGACACCTCTCTCAAGAAGACATACAAATGGCCAACATATATGAAAAGATGTTGTCCATCAGTCAGACAATAAGTGTAGTATCTGATTATGCATTAATTGCTGTTGTGCATTAATCAGTGATCTCATTCCCCAAAATTTCTTCAATGGTTAGCCATACATGGCAGCCTCATGATAGGTGGTATTGGAAAGAAATGAAGATTTAGACACAATGCTTAACATGACCAAGAGAGGGCAGAAAGAAAATAGCAAAGATCAAGGATTCCCTGGATGGAGACCAAAGCAAAAGGTAGTCAGAAAAAACAAACCCCCTTCAGGAATATTGGGAAGAAACTAGATTTCTTACAATGTGTGGAATGTGGGCCACTCTATTCAAATAGTTAAGGAAAGAGTGATTCCAGCAGTCTGAAGAACTTCAGGATACCAGGAGAAGGATGCCAGGATGCTGTTTATCTCTTGTCTTACTATCATCTGGCTTAAGAGTTCAAGGTTTTTACGACTAGCCTTATACAGGTTTCAGTTAAATATAAATGAAGGTCATTTCCAAGAGGGCCTGTAGAACTGTAAAACCAGGAGCTCTTAAGTCTGTGACCAAAGACTGAAGTTCTCTGTAGGATGCCATAGTCACTCAATAGTGTTTCTAAAGAGATGTGACTCTTGAAAATCAAGACAGTTCATTCATAATAAACCATGATCAATGATGTGGAAAGTAAATAAGTCAAAGTTTAATTTTTTTAAATTATAAGTGATCCTCATCTCATAGAAGGAATATCCTAAAAGCAGTTTAGCAGCCTTAGAAAGCCCCAAGTTAAGGGCTTACCTTAAAAGAAGAAAGCAAAGAAGAAAACACAGTGTGAACCTGAGAAACATCCTACATGGTACCAGAACACTCTGTTGCAGGCAGGTCAACTCCTCAGGTCCCCTCTGCTTTCTCCCATAACATCCTTTCCTTGCCCTAGAGAAGTTATATGGAAGTCATGGCCTTATGTTTATAAGTATGTTTCCTTGTTCATAACTCTTAGATCTCAAAAAAAAAATATGAGAGACCTCCAATCTCTTAGAGGGCTTGCTTACCCAAAATGAAGCAGGAGAAGAATTTGGTTTCCTCTGCACGAATAGAAGCCTCTGGGGTAAAGGCAGTGTAGTGCAATATAATCAGCAAAGCAATGTCCTTTTCTTCTTACTACCCACAACTGCCGCCCACACTCACAAACATACTCCCCCAACACTGATGACTCATGGAAGGTAAACATGGTGAGGCAGTGACCCCTCTGCAGGAACCTGGATGAAAAGCAGTGTTCTATCACTATACATTTAACATTTCTATATTGTGCTTCTAATGTTTTATATCAAAAGTCACATAAGCTAATAAAATGGGAGACAGTAATAAAACGCTATCATCCTTATATACACAATTAAAATTAAAAGTCACCTCTGAGATTTTTAAACTAGGGGAAAAATGAGCAAAAGCTCTGTCACTGGTGGGTTTTGCTTCAACAGGGTCTTCTTCCCTTGGGCTTTATTAATGAGAATGGTGCCTTCACCCCGCCTGCCCTCCTCTGGAGTTGTTGGACCTGCATGTTACCTGTTCAAAATTTGACAGCCTCACACTTATCTCAAAAATGACCTGAGTACCTCAAAGATTTTTTTGTTCATGCACAGAGTTTCCAAGATATTAAGAGACCGAAGGAAAGAACAAGATTCTAGGCCGCCTCAGGCACCTCAAGATTGAATAGGGAAAAGTGTCATTTCCCAACCCCATGTAGCCTCTTCGGGTGAGATTCAATCACTTAACGTCAGCATGGTGTTGAGGTTTCTGCCACCACTGAGGATCACACAAAAGCTGAGAGTCAGAAAATTAAAGTTTAATGTAAAATTAATGGAGACTGAACTAAGTCAGGAAAGTACATTTGGTGTATGAATCATGTAGCAGGGAACCAGGGAACCAGGAACCCAGAAGCAGGATGGGAAAGGGAAAGGAGCCCTGGAATAAACATCTGAAAATTTGGATTCAGGCCCAGCCCTGCCAAGAATTGACCTGTGTGACTTTGTGAAAATTATATGGCTTCTCTGACTTTCATTTGCCATATTTGAAAAGTGAGAGTAACAGTATTTACCTTGAGAGTTATATATGAATTAAATAAGGTTATTGATGTGAAATCTCCAAGAATATAATAAAACCCTCATAAATGTCTAGGAATCTGAATATAGCCTTTGGGTGAAATCTAGTATTCATATAAGGGTCAGATACCTGTCATCGCTCTAGTGACAGAATGTTATCCTAAGAAAGTGTCACTCCTTCTGAAGGACACTTACATACCCCACATTTTCTCACTGGACAAGCCTCACCAGTCTGTGAGGTCATTATGCCACTTGCCAACTAGATGACAACCAGAGTCCCATTCCTTTGTAATTTCCATAGGCCTTCATTAGCATAATACCTGGCGCACAAGCAGGATTTTGATACATGAAGAAAGTATATAAAAATATTGAAGGGAAAACTAACAGAACTTTGATACTTAATACACTGAACTAACAATAGTGGGGAGATATTCAAACCAATCCAATTGTTTGCTTCTTAGTTACGATCTCCCTGGTAAGTGCAGTTCTTTTGATAATAAAAATGACACACTTTTCTAGCTGACTAGGAGATGGAGCATCCCTGAAAAGGTTTCAGAGATGCCATTTCTACCCAGAGGCAGTTATCAAAAAAATAATAGGAAATGAAAATAAAAAGCAATACATGTGTTCTAGTAACTGAGGTGTTAACAAATGTGGAATATTTTAAATTTTTACAAGATGAATGTTTCTGGTTATTTATCTAAGGTATCATAAAAATCACATTTAAAGCAGAATAAACTACCAGATTCTGATTGTAAAAGAATGGCAATTTCCTTTCAACAATCACCCCAAAACAAGTATAACAAAAAACACAAATGGAAACAGTCTTTAGTCAGACTAGATAATAAGTCGGCCTCAAACCACAAACTATATGAAAGGATTTCCAAATGCCCTCAGGTCAGACAAGCATGCGCAAGGATGTTGTGAGCACACTCAAGGCAGCAGCTGCAGAGGAAGAGGGAGGGGATGAAGTCTTCAAATAGGTGACACACTCCAAAGGCAAAAATAACACTACCCGGAGTCTAATCATTGGAATCTGATCTGTGCAATGTCTGGCAGACTCCACCGCCTCTGATTCCTGATGACCAGGGAGAAGACCAAAAGAACTGACTTCTTGGTGAACAAAGAAGACTTCTGATGGCCAGCCCAAAACATAACTTTGGTTCTTTCCCCACATGAACCTCCTGTAAATAGATAATACAGAAAAAGTCCACCTCGTTCAAAGATGAATAATAAGTGGAACAAAAAAACAGAACTAGAGTTATATAAGCTTGTCACAACTTTTTTTTAATGTTGGAAGTAAAGAATAAGAAGTGAATAGTAGAAGAAACGTTATGATAAAGAATATTGCCATAGAGATAATGAAAGTCAACAAAGCAACTGAATTAAAAGTATTGAAATAATTACCTCCTTGAAAAGAGCTCAAAAGATGCATAACAGTTATGGAAGTAAGTGATAAAGACAATAAGAGAAAACACACATGTCGAAGTCAGATATAATGTGGGAGGACACCAAGTGGTGTGGCTCAGTGGATTGAGCACTGGCCTGTGAACCAAAATGTCACTGGTTCAATTCTCAGTCAGGGCCCATACCTGAGTTGTGAGCCCAAGTGAGAAGTGCAAGAGGCAACCAATAAATGTTTTTCTCACACATTGATGGTTCTCTCCCTTTCTTTCTCCATTTCTTCCCCTCTCTCTAAAATAAACAAATAAATTCTTCTAAAAAAAAAACAAATGATGTGGGAGGGGAAACTAAAAACCATTATTGAGATGAATATCATATTACAAACAAGAGAAGACCAAGCAGATGTTAAAAACAGGACAAGAGAAATGAGAAAAATAAGCAAAGTGCAATCACAAGGGAGAGTTAAAAATAGAGAAAATACCAGATACAAATACGATGAAGATCCAATACCTAAATCTGTTCTCTGAAGAAGATAATTGCAATGACACTTCAAGGAAAAATGTAAATGTAGAATGTCAAGAGAAATTTTTCCCTGAAGAATTTTTAAAATTTGTTGAAACATGAAACTTCTGATAAAATTTGCAAATCTAAAGCAAAGTAAATAACCAGAAATCAATATTTGGCTACATCACACTAAAAATGCAGAACACCAAGGACAGAAAATAGCATTTATAACAGGCAAAGGTAAAGAGAACTGACCTACAAAAAGTGATAATTAAAGTGATAGCAATAAAAATAGGAGGATACTAGATAAGATCTTCAAAATGATGAAAAAATGGTACCTTCAAGCTACTGAGAGAAAATTATTTTTAAGCACAAGTTCTATAACTACATTGACAGGTAAAAAATAATAACAAAATTAAGATTTTTCAGATAAGCAAAAGCTCTAAAAACAATAGTGAATTTTTACTTTTAAAAATTATTAAATATAGATTTCAAAAAAAATAAAATTACTTAATTCCAAAAGAAGAACTGAAATAGAAAAAGAAATGGTGAGCAAAAATATCATAAACATATCAATAAGTAAAAACATGGAATGTATAAAATAATAATAGTAAAAACAAAATTGGGGAATAAGGAAAATGAGCTGCAATTAAAATACTGCCTAAAATGACACACATACCAATCTTCTTTCTCTCATTTGAGAGTATAAAGTGCAGAGTTATCTTTTTGCACTGGATAGAACATATGCAAATAGATGAAATGTTGGTTTTAATTTTGACTCTGTTTAACAACCATGGAAAACTGATCAATAATGCTATAAGGCAGAAGAAGAAAGCAACACACAGATTATTCAACTGATAATTTATAACTAGATATGTAACGTAGATACTGCTATATTCTCTAGCTGTCATCTAACTCGTGGACACACTTTAGACTTCTAAGATCACATCTAAAGAAAGCACTGGATCAATTTAAATTATTTAAGACTATCATAACTGGAAATGATCATTATTTTTTCCAAGCAGAGGGAAGTTATCTTTCACTTAACAATAATCATATCTGATAAAGTTTAGGAATATTGTCTCTGATGTAGCCTTTTTGAATTTCCATACCACTGGGTAGAAGTGAACGTGCTGCTCCTCACAGGTAGAAGGGGGAATTCATTTGTGTACATTATAAATCTGAATCATTTTTAAATTAAAATTTAGAGCTTTATAGACCAGTTAGAATACAACTGCTTTCCCTTCTAAAAGAGAAGAAAATTACATCTCATATCAAATCTTCTTAGAAAAGACTATTACTGAAACAGCTAGCTACTTAAAAACAAAATGAAAAATAGTCTGGGCCCTTAAGTAATAATTATACCTACCATTTGTTGAATGATTTTTGCTTTCAAAGGGCTTTTATATTCATTCTCTTATTTATTCTTTTTTAAAAATATTTTATTCATTTATCTTTAGAGGGGAAGGGAAGGAGAGAGGGAGAGAAATAGCAATGTATGGTTGCCTCTCATGTGTCCCCCCCTGGGAACTGGCCTGCAACCTTAGCATGTGCCCTGACTGGGAATCGAAATGCAATCCCTTGGTTCTCAGACCCATGCTCAATCCACTGAGCTATACCAGCCAGG